ACTAATTTAGGCCTTTTGCCTATGACTGATCTTTCTGCCTCTGTCTCTTTCTCTTTAATCCATCCTGTCTACATTATTGCAAAAGCAATTGTCCTTAACATCATTTTTCCTGGGTCATTCTCTTGCCCTGAACCCTTAGTGTCTGCCATCAGCTTCAAGATAAAGTCTATTTTCTTTAGCTTTGAAACTCAAGCCTCCATAATGTAATTCTTAGAATCACATTTTACTTATTTCTTATGGGAAGTATTTATATGTATTAATTCCTTTATTATACAGCATGCTGTTACATACCTATCACGTTCCTGGTAGTATCCTAGCTGTTTCTATAAAGTTGAACAGGAAAGTCCTTATGAATGCACTTTGTGGTCTTAGAAGCTAGTAGTGCTTAGTATGTTTTCCATTTATCTAAAGCCTAAACCATCTTCTAAGACCTGTTCAAATCTTTCCTCCCAAAGCCTTTTCTCAGCACCTAGAACCCTCCTAACAGTCCCAACTAGCCTCTTGTCTGAATTCATCATTTGACATTTAGCAATTTCCCACTCATTTCTCATTCTGTCATCAAACAGATAATGAGCACCTGTTGTGTGTCAGACACTACAATAGGTGTTGTCTCCCATGTCGGTGAATTTTCATAGCATAATACAAATGATGACTCTTACATGGCCTTTGCATCTGTAGGTACAGATTTACATATAGGAGTTCATTTACTTTTCAAAACAACCTATGGAATAGGCATTATTATTATCCCCCAAATAGGACAAAGAGATGTTTAGCAACTCTCCTAGGGTCACAAGCTAGAAAGTAGCAGAGATGAGATTAAAATATGGCTCGAAGGTCCTTAATCCTTTTTTTTTTTTTAAATAAGAGACAGCAAGCATGTGTGTGTATGTGTGTGTGTGTGTGCATGCATGCATGCATGCGTGTGCATGCAAGAGTGCAAACATGAGAGGGGGGGGAGAGAGAGGTATCTTCTTTTTTTGACAGTTTCTTGCCATATCATAATTCCCCTTCCTCAACCTCACAGTTAGTTAGGATCACAGACATGGGCCACCATACCACACCACATGTTTAGGTTGGACCGGGAACTGAACTTAGGCCTTTCATGTGCCCTCAATCATTGTACCACTGTGCCATCCTGCCTGTGCCAGTGCAGCTTGGCCTGAAGTCCTTAATCTTCACCACTATGTTGCACTATCAGACACCAGCATCTATGTCCTATGTGGGTTTTTTTGGAGTGTGTAAATATAAGCACACACACACCTCTTCTCTGCTAGGCTATAAACTCCTAGAGGTTAGGGACAATATGCCATACTCACATGACTCCCCAGTGCCTTACTCAGTCTTTGCATGTAGCAGGTATTCAGTGTATCTGCTCATTTGATTGTTAGTTGTTTCATTCACTGTTGGGAACCTGAGATTTTTAACCAGCAGGTACTCCTGCTTGTACTGAGGTGGAAGAAGGGAGAAACAATTTCAGAATGGCCCCAGATGCTCTGGCATCCCTGGATTTTAGTTCTTACCTCAGCAAGTTATGAGGATAGGCTAATACTAGGGAAGATACTGGTGTAAAAGTTCTTGAAAGTGGAATTAAAAAAAATAAAATTTTATAAAATTTTCTTTTTCAAAAGCAAAACAGGATCTAGATGGCACTGTGTGAGTTTGACTTCCTGGAGGGCTTCCAGGTCTCTGTCTGGACCTTCCTGGTGCACTGGACACACCTATGCCTGGGATTATGGCTGGCTGGGCTGAAGGTGGATCTCAGCATTGGTACCCTGTTGAAGGAAGTAAATAAAAAAAATAATAAAATAAGGAAAAAACACATGCTGTGATTATAGTTCCTCCCCTCTCCCATTCCATTTCCTACTAATACATATTCATTTTGTTGTATTGTCTACAAAACCAAAGTTTGGACATCGAAACTCCAAATCTGTTTTTCTGGCCTAATATTTCTGTTTAAGGTTGATAAGTTGAAGCACATGAACATTTTTCCTGAGTGGCAACACTGCAACTACATATGTAGCTTAATAAAAACTGATAAGTACATATTTGAATTTTAAAAACACAGGTGGTGGGTTATTTGCATTTTAAAAGGATTCTTCCCTTTACAAAAGGATCCACTGCAGGGTTTCATTAAATATCCAATTCCTCTTAGTGAATTTATCATACAATTTAATTTACCATATTTTGATTTATATGCCACTCTAAGGAGGTAGTGCTCAAGTTCCAGTGAGCATGGAAATTGCTTGGGTGACTTGTTTAAAATTCAGATCTTGCCCTAATTCCTTCCCAAGATTTTACTGTTGGCCTTTGAACAACAACACAGGTTTGAACTGCACTGGTCCACTTATATGTGGGTTTTGTTTTTTTCCCAATAAATACTGTAAATGTATTTTCTCGTCCTTGTGTTTTTTTTTTTTTTTTCTTAACAGTTACACATTAATGTTACAAAAAGTGTGTTAGTAAACTGTTATGTTATCCAGACGGCTCCCTGTAAACAGGCTATTAGTTAAATTTTGGGGGAATCAAAAGTTATACTAGGATTTTTGACTGCATAAGGAGTCAGCATCCTTAACTCCCATGTTGTTCAAGGGTCAAATGTTAATTCATTAGGTCTTGGATGAGACCCACACTTTTTTTTTTTTTTTTTTTTTTTTTTTGAGAGGTTTTTGCTATAGGGTGCGTGCACTCGCCAGAAAGACAGAGAGGGAGAGAGAGAGAGAGAAAGTGAGAAATCACCCCCCAGGGGGGATGACCACACTGCAATCCCTTCTCCTCCATTCTCCTCTTGGGATCTTGGGCACACACGCACACATGCCCGGTGTGAGTTTAAGCCACCGGGTCCGGGACTCAAACTGCGGTCAACTATGTGGGAATCCAGTGACATAGCCAATATGCTAACTGCTGGTCCCCATACTCTTTTTAAAATTTTTTTTAGTTTGCTATAGGGTGTGTGTGATTACCAGAGAAAAAGAGAAAGTGAGAAAGTATTCCCCAGGGTGGATGGCCACACTTCAGTTCCTTCATTTCTCCTCTTGAGATTTTTGGGCACACAGGCACATGCACCAGTTGTAGTTTTCAAGCCATAGGGTCTGGGACTTGAACTGTGCAATTGGCCATGTGGGGTTCAGCTACTTAACCTCCATGCCACCTGCTGACCCAAGGTTCTTCATTTTTAGTATACATCACACAGGTCATCAGTGAGATATGCTGGGGAAATAGAGAAGATGAGGTCTAATGGTAAGGATTCCCCCAAGGCTTGGGCACCCCTTACTACCAAGTGTCCTACTTATATTTAATTGGGCATATTTAAAAAAAGATATATTTAAGTCCAGTAAAGACTCTTCTGTCTCTTATCTACTCATTTTTTTCTGCAGCTGGCAAACATCTTTAATCTCAGGTGTAAAATGTTTTTCTTTCTCAACTCCCTATTTTACTCAGACATCTCTTGGGATCTTCCTTATTCTTCTGATTGGTTGTGGGCTGAATTCCTACGTTTATTTTGTTCCATTTCCAGGTACCCCAGTTCCCTTCCCCAGGGCCCTTCTCTTTTGTGTTCTTGACTGGGATACTGAAGGCTGGCTTGGTCCAGAAATATCGGGCAATTTAGAAATAATTTCTGTGGAGGTTTGTCATAGCCAAACCTAAGAACCTTTCTTCTTTTGCCCTATTATCATTTACTACCTCGCCTCCCCTGACACACACCCCAGAAAAAGGCCAAAAATTAAGTTTTGAACAGAACAAATCATGAAAATGACACCTTTTGACCCAATTCCATTCTTCCAACAGTATTAATCCCAGTCCTAGAGCAATGAATGCCAAGACTGTGTATTGAAAATATTATAATTTAACAAAATTTGTTTAAAAAAACAGACTCCATGACATTTATGGCACATGTATCTATGTATTTAATATATCATTGATCTTTTAAAAGTCAGTTGCTTGACCTATATTTTGCCTCTGATTACTTTTCAAAATCTCTAGTAATCTCTAGAAACATTTAGAGATTTCCATGCTTTAAGAGTTTTTTCTCCTTTATTAATCTCCTATATCCCTGAATTTTGCTCTGAGTAAAGGTTCTCTGGGGTGATCTGGATTTTGTAAAATATCTCTAGTAATAATAGAAGCCATGCAAGAGCAAATAACTGGTGTGGTTGGTTACTGACTGGAAATCTTTTATTTTAATAGATTTATCAGGGCTTATTCTTCCTTTGAAGTAAGATGCTCTTAATAGCCTTGTTGGTCTTCCATAAGAACATATGCAGAGGTTCTATTATTTGTTTATCGGGATTTTGTATGTTCATAAACACATTCAGTGCTGGTTGAGGCTTCCCTGATCAAATACAGGACTTTCTAAGAAGTGGTAGTGGTGAAGAAGTTGGAGGAGGAAGGGGTTATGGTATCATTGGGTTGAAACAAGGGCTCAGAGCAGAAATAGTTTTAGGCTGTGTGAGCAACTCTTGTAAATGGGCATTTATTTGGTATATTCAATATGATTCCATTTTTACAGGAAAATAGAAAAAATGGAAGGTAATCTTTAGGTGGTGGGGTGACAACTGATGTGTTTTCTTTTTGTTCTGAATTTCCCCAAGTTTCTACAGTGACCATGTATTATTGTTACTCTTACAAGTAATTGAAAACAAAGAAAGGAACTTACTTTGCCTGATGTCTTTGGAGTCTCTTGAAGAGACCTAATCTTTAATGGATCTATTGCAAATTTTACCTATTACAAAGAAGGATGGTGAAAAGTATGTTCTCATTAGGCCCAAAACAGTTAATCAAACAAAAGACAGTTTTTTAAACTGGAGAGGCAGGCTTTCCGTTCTGTAACAGAAAGTGTAGGTGTCTGGGCCTGTTGCATGCTCCCGAGAATGTGTGCCCTTCACTCTTGCTTCCATTCAATAATGAAAAGAAGATTGCATTGTATTTGGGATTTTAACATTGTCTCTTTTCTTTCCCTTCCTCCCTCCTCTTCCCCTTCTCCCTTCTTTTCTTTCCTCAAGGCCTCTCCCACCTCATGATGAGCGAACAAGGTAGGTGCTTTGTGCTCGTGGTCCTGCAGCTGCCCGAACCGCTTGCCTTCGTGCCTCTGGCCAGTTGCTCAGAGCCTCATCTCTCTGGCAGGCCGCTCCTGCCTGTCCCTCCTGCTGTGGGCCGGGCTGGCAGCAGTGCTACCATGCTGTGGGGGCATCTTTCCTGAAGCACCGTGGTTTCCCACCCCCGCCGTCCCCTTGGCTTCTTCATTCTCCACCACCATTTGTCATCCTGGGCACTGGCCCTGCTGGGCTGCCTCCGAAAGGGAAGCATGAAACAAGGCATGACGGCGTCGATAATGGGGGTGAATGAAGCTAATTTCAGAGCAACGGAGCGGTTAACTTCCTCCTGCTCCTCCCCAGGCCCCATGCTGCGGCCCCAGGTTTGGGGGAGGAGCTGGGTTTCACCCTGAGTTTCCCCTCCCCGTGAAGGTTTGCTTTTTGTCTTCCCCTCCATCCACTGCCCCTTGTAATGACATTGTACCCTCCCTGGTCAAAGAAAGCCCTTGGAGGTTTGACTGTTTTCAGTTTTTTTCTATAAAAGCACAAACCACCGAAAGAACATGCTAATGTCCTCATGGCAGGACTCTAACTCATTATACACCCTGAAGAAAACTGCATATAAAGTTCTGTAAATTCAGCATCTGCAGCCTAAAATATTCAAATATGCAAGGAATGAACGGTGCAGGAAACTCTCGGCTCAGCTGAGCACAGGGTGGGCTGTGAATGAAGCCTTTTTCTCCTCAATAAAAATTTTCCACATTATCAGCCTAAATCAGGATTTGAGAACTAAGCCCACTTAAAATTGTCTTTTCCTGCACTGTTCAATTGCTGCTATTGTGTTTCTTCTGAGCCGCAGGATGATTGCAAGATTGGTCTACCTGCCTTTGCCCTGTCACCAAAAAGACTATACTTTAATTTTTCTTGTCTGTTTCTTTTCAAAATATACATGGGACTCAGTGCCTCTTTGGGAGAACTATAGCAAAGGGGAAAGGGAAGGAAGACTCTCATATATTCCTCATTATTATTTTTTTTTTAACCTTTGAGGAGGGTAGGGTGGCACTGAAGGGCTATTTTCCCTCTCCTTTACCCTCACATTGGAATCATCAGAGTTTTGACATAAAAGGGAGACAGTCAGAGAATCACCCAGGACTCAGAGAAGTTTGTTCATCGTGTCCCGGTAGCTGTGCAGGTGGGCAGTTGAGAGTATCTAGAATTGATAAGGCAGGATAAGGAGGAAGCCCACTTTTCCAATAGAAATGTATCCTCCAAACCTGAGCCAAGATCCATAATGTGGGCTCAAGAAATTTCAAAGAAGATAGAGTTTGGAAGAGAGTAGATATCAAAGAGCAGAGCTGAAGCAGTTGGTCAGGTGAGTTCCCCAGTGTTAGATAGGGCTCTGAAATGGCTAGGGTGAAACCTCTCCACTCTTTCTGTAGGTGAGTGAGAGCAGCAGGGGCTGACTTTGAGTAAGTACGAAGTGGATATGAGTAGGAGATGTGCTTGCTGTTGACCTAATGTCCAGGCAGTTTGAAAGAGTCCAGCCTCTATTTATGAAGTGGGAGGAACCAAGTTCTTTGAATTGTTAGAATTTGATGACCTAACTTTGGTGATGCATTGCACCATAAAAGCCTTCAGAGTGCATGCAGGCTCTTCTTCTACATTCTCTAGCCCTATGTTCCCAGTACCCCTTCAGGAGTTTTTACAGCTTTCACAATGGCAGGGAGGACTAGGCGTATCAAATGACTGACATTATAGGTCAGAGAATAGCAGATGGAAGAGGCCGATAAGGACTTCTTTAATCTTGGCTTACTTTATTTCCGAAACACTGATGTAGCCACAGCATTCTGGAAGGCTAAATCTCAACATTGTGAAATGCATTGGAAGAACTTGTGTTGAATGTACAGTACCCAGTACTAAAATGCACATGCGTAGAGCATTTAGACACACTGATACTTCAGGGAGAGTAAATCAGGTGCCTTCTAGAAAAGGGGAAAGAAATAATGACAGACATGGATGTTGTAAATTCCTGTTGAGAGAGGTTTTCAGGAAAGGATGCAGAATTCTTTTGGGTGATTTGTGCCATTAAGATTTTAAGTTGCAACTTGAAGTTTAATCTGTTTTGAGAAGGCCCTTTGGCCGTATTCTTCTTCCTCTCATTCTTTCCTATTTTCCACCTCCTTGTCCATTCTTGCCCATCTAATGATGACCTAAAAAGCCAAGACTCTCCTTCTCAATATTCCTTTCCTTCTCCTTATTGCATTCTCATGACAGAAAGAAGCTTCTGTCTGGTTCCCACGGAAACTCCAGAATTTGCTTTTGATGCCTGTAAATATGTGCAAAAATACTCATGTATGTTGTGTGTGCACCACTTATACATGTATGTTGCATTATTAGTCCTCATGATTCATATTAATCTTGGGAAAATACAGGAAAACCTAGCTTCTCCGACACTTTTCCTAATCATTTTTAGGTCAGATATAAGTGTGTGCAATTTCACATACATGTCGCTATGTAATGCTTTTGCATGCCAACTTTATTATGTTTCTAAAGATGGGACTGAGAAGAAATGAATCGAGATAAAGCTTAAACCTGAAGCTCATGAAAAAAGTCTTGCTGGTCAGTGTTTACTGCTAGTTTAAGCTTCCCTTTGTGCGTTTGTTTTGTGCTGCAATCTCAGGATGTTGCAATGCTGCTGCCTATACTGTTGTGAGTTTTTATTGTGTCATGTCTTGCGTGTGTCTGCAGTGTGTTGATGTTTTACCCTCCTTGCTTTCTCTCTCTCTCTCTCTCTCACCGCCTCCATGGTGGACACCATGCTTCCTCTACTTAATTGGACCTTCCACTTCATTTCTGTAGGTAGAAGTAAAGGTAGAGATCACTTTATTTTTCTTATTGTAGCTATTAATCTGCCTTCTGAATATTCATTTATCCAAGGGGAATTGTGTGTTCTGATGAAAACAGTTCAGATTATTATTTAATGCTTTTAACAACTTTAAAACAAACAAACAAACGAACAAGTTAATGCTGTTGTTTCCCTTCAATGCACTTCATGTTTGGTATTTGGGGATGTTCTGAGTTGGCTGGCCTCCCTCGAAGTCCAGGATGAGCCTTCTGCATGATGTTGTATCATTTCTAGCAAGAATGGGAGACCATGAAAGTGATTGTGCAGAGCGGGGAAGACGTATTTTGTTTCAATGCAGGGTACCCTAAGTATTGTGGGAAGAGGGGAGATGTGAAGTGATGTGTTATTGTTTTTAGTTGCAAATAACTGAATTTGGAGATAATAGCAAGAAAAGGATGATAGATGAAAAGGGAGAGGATTGGCAAACTGCTTGAAATTGTATTTAATAGGGAATTGGGATATTTATTTACTGTTCTTTTTAGTCCTCCGTGTTGTAGTTCTTATATATGTGTGGGAATTGGAATTTTCTGAGTGGGGATGTTGGGCCAAAGAGGATGGGCCTAGGGGGATGTAGAAGATCATAGGACTAAAAACACATTACACTGTAAAGAGTAAGAGCCAAAAGAGAAATACGGGATTTTACCTTACAGAGTCAGTCTTCCACCAGGTGGGCAGGGACGAGGAGCAGCACCGGGCGGGTGGGCTCGCTCTGATGCTCTGACATGCCTTTCAGCGCTTCACACCTTTGGGAAACACAGCTCACTCATCCATTCCTAATCAAAGCTGTCAGAGACCCGAGCCCAGAGAACCTGGCTAGCAGCTCAAATTGGATTAGCTGTTCAGGAGTGAAGGGAGAGGTTAATTGATAAATTATAAATATGTATCTGCATCCAACTCTTCCCTCTTTCTCCTTAACTCTCCAGCCCCTATCTTGGTGAGGCTGTGTGCTGCTGCTTCCTTCAAAGACTGTCAAATAACAAACTAAGAAATGTGAGTTCTAGCATGAGGATGTTGAAGAAAGAAGGGGCTGACAAGTTATTGAAAAATGCTGATTTGATGACTAGTCTGTGAACTAGCCATCTCCCATTTGAATTTCATGGTTTTCTGGAGCTTTAAGAAGTTACGTATAGTTGCCTTGGAAGCAGTTCAGCCCTTTCCATGTCGGGGTCGGTTGATTGCCTGCTCCTTTTATGCCAATACCGGGTGGGTTCTTTCACAGAAATCTGTCCTGGGGTGCACTTACTCTATTGCTGTGTTGGTACCTTTTGAAAGAAAGTGAATGGGAATGGGAGGATGAAAAGGAGGGGGAGGAATGATGATTGAAGGGGCATGTCTGGCTTTCCCTA